CAGTGATTTTGAAGGCAGCTTAATAGAATCAGTCTGTTGTGCCATGGGAAAACTGTCCCACTTGTTGATTCAGACTGAAGATCTGAAATCAGATTTCCTCGCCCCCCTTTTGATGTCTGAATATTTTAATGAATCTAATTGACAACAAGGGCAAACTTCCCCAAACACTTATTTTTCCCAAAGCTCAGGAAGACTCTCTTGATAAAATCGTGCGCGCGCGTGTGTGTGTGTATGAGCAAACTCAGAATCTTGCTGAATCTTGATTTTTCTGAGAATTGTCATTTGTTCTTTAGGAATAATATCTTCAGGCTAGGATATGTTAAGCAGAAGGATTAAACTGAAAAACAACCTTTTGGCATTAATCCAGGATTGACTTAACATAGTTGGGGAAGAATATTCTGGAGAAGGCACCGTAATAATGCAGTCCTAGGGTTTTGCATTTTAATAAGATAAAGGATGACATTCCTCTGCAGTCTTGTTGCATGTTACTGCTGGGATTCAAAGATTTTTTTTAAGAGCAACTGTTGCTTTATCTGTCAGTGTTCATCATGGGGGAATGGTAAGGGTGGTGCGTGAGGTGGGAATGAAGAAGCACCTACATTAAATAATGAGTAAAAGTTCATACAAAACACCTTCAGGTAGCAGGGCATGAATGTAAAAATCTGATCTCACAAAGCTGTGACAGCCAACAGGTCAGACCTCACATAAATTTGTGACAAGAATTAGAAGAAACTTGGGTGACAAAAACTGCACTCCTCTGCCACTTAAGCAGAAATGTCTACGTGAGCACCCAGGGACTGGTTTCTACACGGTAACCGCTGCCGTACCGCGGAGGTGAAACCTGCCTCTTGCAGGCAGTTCAGTGCAGCAGGAACCCAGCTCTGGTTCTGATCGGGCAAAAGCCGTTCTGCCTGCAGGAGTGTTCACGGGCACCTCTGCCCTGCTCAAAGGAGAGCGGGGCTCTTAGGAGTGCGTGCCCACAACAGAAACCCTTCAAGTGATTATCGTTTCCAGCTTAGAGAAGAAAACTGTTTAACGAGCTCTATGCTGCATGTGGGAAAAAAACGTGCAGGAAAGTGACTTCAGGTCAGGATTAATTCCTGTTCAGAAGTGATTCATTCACAGGTGCTCATAGCTGAAAGAAGAGATCCTTTTTCTCAAAGCAATTCCTCTGAAGGTCTTTCCCCCACGAGCTTCAACAGCCCATTGTCATTTTAGATGATTTCAACCTGCTGTTTGCGGCATAGACCTCCTTATTCCTTCTAGATGATACGCTAGTAAAATAGTACATTAGTAGAGCAGTAAAAATAAAGTCTGTGAGAAAGGATTTTGTGTAGCAGAAAAAAGAGAGCATGGGAAAAGAGTGCAGTAGCTGAAGCTGACCGTACCCACCAAAACAGTACATGTTCCCACTGTTCATAAAAAGTGCAAAAGTATTGTTGTTAGTTGCAAGTCCAATACCATAGTAATAATTTTTAGAGAGAGATTACTTTTGTTGCTTATTTAGAAGTTCTCATGGTGTCTAAATAACCGTTAGTCTTGCCTAATTTTTTCACTGTCATTTCATGCACTTTTTTTTTCTTCCCCAGGCCCAAAATGTTCAACACAGCAAGGACATGACTCTTGCCAGCAACCGCAGTCTGGCAGAAGGCAATCTTTTGTACCAGCCAAAGTTGGAGTCTTTGAAATCAAATTTGACTGAAAAATATCGAGAGTTGCAAGTTCTTTTTGAAGCATACCAGATAAAGAAAACAAAACTAGGTAACATCTTCTGTTGACGATTATGATTTGCTGTTTTCAAAGTGAATGTAAATATGTTGCATGGCTTTTTGTTTGGTTTTGGTGCCTCATTTTTAGCTGTGTGAATTAGGATACAAAATGAAATGTCATTCTCGTGTAGTTCTGAAATAGGTCATGCTTCTAATGATTTATTAAGTATCTGTTACATCTAGTAACAGATACTGTAGGCTCTATTACTGTGTGGTTACCTGCCTGTTGACCTACTGTTCTCTAAGTTATCAAATTCATTTACCTTGCTAAAAAGCAAAACATAATTTGAATTTTCAGTGATTAATCATAAATCAAATGATAAAAGCTGAAGTGCTTTGTCTTTCAATATTATAAATATATCGTAATTAAATTTCAGCTTTTAGCACTCTGGCAATATTCCTAAACTACTTAATATATTTTCTTACTGTAGATCATCCTGAACAATGGAGTATGCTAGTTGTACATACATGCCTTACAAATTTTTGTGCTTGCTGAGGCTATATAGCTTCAGTTAGAAGTCACTTAGAGCCAGCTGTCATTTACTGTTCTTTTTGTGCCATTACAGACAGACAATCCAGTAACGCTTCGCTGGAGACACTGCTAGCGCTGCTTCAGACAGAGGGGGCTAAGATTGAGGAAGACACAGAGGTAATGACAGTACGCTTCAGTTCTACCAATTATACCCATTACTGAAGACTGTGAATGTACATAGCTGCAGTATAGTATTGAACATATAATGGACTAAAGGGGTATTTTTAAGAATGTTAACTTCAATGAACAGTCATTTGGTTTCAGCAAGAATTTTTTTATCTGAGTAATTTTTTACTCTTTAACATCTTTGACGTTTAAGAGAGAAACCACTCCTTTCAGAAAAGCAAGCCAGACCCTCTTAGTTCCTTGGCATTGCCTTCAAACTCATAGTGTATAAATGTGGAATTTTTTTTTTAATGGTGTTTGCCTGGTATATTTATTAAGCCATTATAACTGTCAGCTAGTAACCTAATAAAAAACTGTGCCTGCACTGTGTTTTCTCCAGCATTTCTGGTGAAATATTCCATTATGATTTCAAACGTATCTGTCTAGGTGCCAGTAGTCACCACTCGCTGTGATACAAGCGCTTGAAGAGTGCTCTGTTTTCAGAGTAATGGAAATGTTTGGTTTTGCTTGCTGATTTGCCTGTAGGACATCCTGTATAACTACATAGCATGTTAGCATCAGGGGGAAAATCTGCTTATTGGCCCTGAATTGTGATCACCAAAAGACATTCCCAGGACAAGTTGAATTTTGTGATTATATGTATGGTTACCTCTCTTAATTATTAAACATCATTTACCCAAGGCCACAAGTAAGCGTGAGTATTAAACCTGGCTTAGCAATAATCTGCCTCTCTGTACTGAGGCTTGTAGTTTCTGTTGGCATTGCAAGCAGTACTGAGCTATAATTCAGCTTAGCTGGCAATCTGGAAAGCTGTTGAACTTCATCTGTTCCCATCTCTGATGATCAGGGGAGCGTTCAGAGCTAGATTCAGATGTTCTTACTGCTGTTGCTTCAGTATAAATTTAAACAAAAATGGTATTTAACTCTCAGTGCTTCTGAGTAATAACTAATTCAAAATTCTGCTCAGAATTCTTGGTATGCCAGTCATCTTCCATATGCTAGCTGGAAAATCACAGGCAAAATTATGCTATTTTGAGGATATAAGCCATTTAGATTCTCTTGCAGTATGCAGTTTTCTGAGAGATTGTTCTGTATTTGACAGAATATGGCAGAAAAATTTCTTGATGGTGAAATACCACTGGATTCCTTCATTGATGAGTATCAGAGCAAGCGTAAACTGGCTCACCTGCGACGTGTAAAAATTGAGAAGCTCCAAGAAATGGTGCTGAAGGGACAGAGACTTCCGCAGGTTCAGCTGCAGGCTCAGCCGAGAGCACCTGAGACAACACCAGCACCTCAAGATTCCTACACTTCGGATGCAAACACTCCTCCTTCAGTTGTGCCCCGACGAATACCACCCCCTCCACCTTCTTCAGTCCCAGCAGGACGCTTTCCTACTCCGTTTACTGCAGCCATGAGTTCAGGACCGGCTCTTTCTTATCCAGGTGCTCCGTATCCTCCTCTCCCCCCTCGACCAGGAGTTCAGTCTGCAAGTCCAATGCCACAGCCAGGATACCCATCTCAGTTTGTACCACAGTATCCTCCAGCTCTTCCCCAAAGACCACCTCGCCTTCCACCACATCCTGGCTTTATCCTCCAGTGAATATTTTGGTGCGCCTAACTTATGTATTGGTGCTTATATTTCCTTTTTCTCCCCATCAGAGACTTAATGTGGGCAATGGAAAGCCTCTGTTTTTTGCACAATGGAGTACAAAATCCGAGCTGTGGCACAGAGGTTTGCAAGTGCGTTTGGTAAATGTGATTATTTTTGTTTTCAAATATCAGTGACAACAAGGTTTTTCTAGGAAGGTGATAGGGTCTAAATTTTGTAAATCCATCAAATTGTGAAACAACGTACAGTGGATTTCCTGACACTACAAATTGAATCATGCTCTGAATTCTTTAGTGATGGTAAATCAGCATCCTCTTCTGTTCTGATGTATTCCTATCGCAGCTGGATGTATGTGTGGCAAACTGGGAGCTATTTGTCTCTCTAAAGAATTCTCTATCAGTGCCAGTGTTTGGATAATAACAACCATATCTGAATACTGGGCAAAGAGTTGCAATGGACCGCATCAGCATCCTTCGCAGTGTGCCCAGGCAGTGGCATTTGTGGCCAGGTGCACAATGTTTTCAGAGCTCGCTGAGCTGAAACTCTTGTCAGAAAATGTTCTATGGTTTTTAGACCGTAAAAGTTACAAGAGTTTCATTTCTACATTTCACTTGTTACCTTAGACTTTTCATAATAAAAGTGCACACTCTTCCCACTCCTAAACAGCTTGACATCCTGAAAGTCCTGGTCTCTTGAAATTAAACTAAACTGTTTGTAGAGCCAGTTTAGCGTTTTATAGAAACTTTACCAGGCATTTTTATTTCCTTGCCTATTAAGACTCTTTCTTACGTTGGGTTTTTTTTTTTCCTTTTCCACACCTCGGATACAGAAGTGATTTTCTTACACAGGTGCTTAGCTTTTGATATCATGTGATTCCAGGAATCTAGGCAGGGTATTTTCTTAATCAAATACGGGGTTTTCACATCATGTAATTGCCTACTTGAAGCTCCACAGTTTCATTTTATCCCTCAAACTCAGTCTCTCGCTTGGCAGAACTATTTTTAACTTTCCCATTTCCTTTAGTTTTGCAGTTTTTGGCATGCGTATCTATCTGGAATTTGCAGTCAATGTTTCTCTGCAAGCAGGCAAAACAGAAAAGCTTTTTGAACTCCATGGTGGCTGTTTGCACCTTACGTAATCCATTCTTGACTTCTTTTGCCACTGGAGGGGGAGGCATTTTAGGGGAGCTCAGATTTCATTCTCAGTGTGACTCTTGAAGCCTAAGGTGCAGACGCAGGCTGGTATTTTAATCTAGCATTGGCGGAAGGAAGTCTTAATGCTTGCTTGCACAGAACATGTCCATAAATTTGTTATCAATTTCTCACATCCACAAACAACTTTCAACTAACTCATGGTAATTTAAGAAACTCACAGTCCAGGATCTGTCGTAGCCCCTGCTTTATTTCAAAACATTTTCATGTCATTATCCTGGAATGCACTACATTGTTTGGAAGTCTGTACTACAAACAGCATCAGTCAAAATAGAAATTTTTTTTATTTTTTTTTAATGTAAGGCCCTTGACTGTCCCTTAATCATTTCCTCTGGAGTGTGGTGGTTGCTAGCAAATACTAATCTGAAATAAAGCTCATAACAGGAAGTTCTCTATTCTGAAAATACGTTTATTTGGCTTGTTTTGCCTTCTGAAGACAAAGGGCAGAAGGTTGGTCAGTGTTACTGGCATCTGAACCAATTCCCCAGAGTAAATCTGGAAAGTTTCTATAGATGGGGGATTTTGTGAAGCAGTGTGCATTGGATTTGTTTGCAAAGTGTGTTCTTTCTGTAATCTAGTGATGGTACAGGATGTGTTTGGTTTTGTTTTTTTTTTTAAAAAATAGTGTAATATGTTTTCTTGGTATTATTTTCTCACTGAAGCTTCGTATAAGCATGGTTAATTATGACTCGTTTCAAAGTAATTTTGCTGTGCTATTAGTGCTGGTATTTGGATGGCAACTGTTGTATCTGAATGCTAAATGTAAGGCTGCTATAGAAATGGTTTGTGTCCTAGAAAGAATTAAAGTGGGTGGGGGCTCCCAGGGTGGTGACTGAGTACAGAAATTCGTACTTTGAGCCTGCTACACAAAAACTCTAAAACGCTTTCAAATTAGTTTTGCTAACAATTAATAAAAACAACCAGGTATATTTTACACTTATCAAGTGCCAACTTTTTTTCCGAGGGTTGAAAATCCTCAGAAGTGATGGAGGTGACGGATAAGTGTATTGTGAATTTGCACTGCATTTTATGTATCTAACTTTATTGGTGGTAGTAGTCCAAAAATATTTTTACTACTTGTTAAATTTTCTGTCTTTTGGTAACTTTTGTGATAACATGACCTTTCAGGGATACTTTATCGAAAAACAAACTCTTGTGCAAACTAAATACAGACAAAGCTAATGCAATTTTTCTGTCTGAAAGCAAAACAATGCATTATTGCATATGCATGTGGCTGATGTGCCTTAGGGTCACTACTTGTGATTGTAATACTAGGATATTAGCATTTTTATCATTTGAATGGCCATTGCTTAACTCTTAAGGGCTCTTCAAGAGCATTTTCTTTTACAAAAAAACTCACCCTCATACTTCAGAAAAAACAAAGGCTGTATCTGCTATTTGTAAGGTTATAGTTGCCTTCGCTGATGGATAAGTTCGAACATAGATAATGTAACTAATGTGATGTTTCAGTTATAGCAATCTCATAACTGAAATCCAGCTGCTCATGGAAAACATTTTGCCATTAATCGTGTGTGTGTGTGCGCACAAACTGTAAATATATACTTGACTGCTGGTAATGTTTAAGGGTAAAGGAGAAAGATGACTGTGGAAAGCTGTTTAAATCCTTTCAGAAGCAAGTGTTAACAAAACACTAACCTGAATGAGTCGGGCAAGAGATGTGTCAGTGCTTTTGACCCGTTGCCCTTCGACAGCTTCTCCTGTTCTGTTATAGCTAATAAATAAATTCTGCTATGGCTAGGATGTTTAGAATCATACTAATTTGCACTGTTTATAAGATAGTGAGATTAAAATGCCATAGGCAAGCTGAGACTTGAGAGGGGGTGGCTCAGTATGCTTGCCAAAATATATATATTATTATGTTGTCTTGAGGATTTTTAATGTCTGCTGCAAATAGCATATACTTCCCCAAAGCAATTGGAGTGGAGAAACATCTTTTAAATACGATACGTCACACGGCTTTAGAGTGTTGGTAGCGTTGAAAATGGTCTCTTTGGATGGCATTACTTTTGCCAGTCTTTTGTATGCAGTTTTGTAAGTTATGACTAATTCAATTGTATATGGTTAAGTTGTTTGATTGATGATCAGCATTGAATGGCTCAAACTCAAGGTTGAGTTTCGCTGCTGTCTCCTAGAGGAAGCGGAGTCAGTTGTTGTAGCACAGCTGATCCACGCAGGTCACCTTTGCAGCAGTGACCCTGGAGGGACTATATAGAATATAAGCTTTCATGTGATGCCAGGAGGCAGAGCCCTGGGCATAGTCCGGTCATGGGTAACTGTTAGCTTAGTGCCCCAACTTCCACAACCTCAGTCTCGACCTCTTTTGGGACTTCTCTGCCCTCTCGAACTGGATAATGACTTAGATACAGAGCTCAAATCGACAGTTCCTTTAGCCTGAATATAGAGCTACTTGGCAAACATTGAGTTCTGAGGAGGTAGAGTCGTCCTGCACCTGAACAGTTCCTCTGCGTAATCCTGGACAGTCTAATAAAGGGGCAATTCTATATGCCTAGCAAGTTGTGAAATGTACAGTGGATTTGTTTGCATAAGTCTTTCTGTAATCTACTGTGGTCTGATTTTAAATAAAATAGCATATCTCTCTTGGTGTCGTGTTCCTGTTGTGGCTTCATTTAATCACAGTGGAGTTACGTTAATGTTTTTCAATACTAATGGTGGTTTTTATGTAGCAACATAAAACCAGTTGTAGATGAATGTAGAACATAAATTTGCAGGAAAATAACTTTAATTATTCGTAGTAAATCTGTTGGCCATATTTTTAGTGACTGGATATAGTAAATCCATTTTGTATGTAGCTGGTGCCAGACAGGTATGCTCAGAGTAGATCCTGCATGGTGTAATCGTGGCAACGAGGTACGTGGGCTGTCTTGCCAGGTAGAATCCTTCCACTTTTGTTTTAGTTCCCTACAATGAGCTGGAATAGTGGAAGTGTCCAGAATCTTCACCTGGAAAAGCTGAAGGAGGGGGAAAGCCACTTTTATTTGTTCAAAGAGGAAAAAAACAGATTTCAGCCAAGACAAGTTAGGAGAAATGAGTCAACCGAAGTTATTTAGGAATATGATATGAGTCAGAGGGGAGAAAAGACCTGATGTAATTTTCTGTGGTATCCGTCACTTTAATAGCAATGTGAAATAGAAGTCCTACTGCAGAATAACTGATAATATATGGAAGAAAATCCCTTTTTTAATTGTTCCTTGATACGTTCCATTTGTGGTGGCTATGGAGATTTGATAACCTTCTGCTGATGCAGAAATAGGAAACTACAGATGAGGAGAAGTTGCTGTGCTGACTCAGTGCAGGTGGGCGAGGGAAGGGGATGGTGTTATGTAAAAGCTGCCGTTCTTTAACTTGGCTCTTCTAAGAATTGCAGCAACGCCCGTGTTTTGCAGCTTGAAGAAGGTGCACGCAAAACTTCAAGAAGTGCCTGTTCCGAAACGGGGGATCAGATGGCTCTTCCCTGTGGCTCTCGTGCACCAGGAGATCGTTCTGGGTGGGATCATTCCTTGTGCAAAGGAGAGGTAACCCAGTATGGTCAGACCTTGCCAGGTAGGGGACTCGCGTGTCAGTTGTGTAACGGATAACAAAAAAACCCCAGCAAAGTAACACAAAAAAGGCAAGTGGCGTGTCAGTGATACGCTGGCAGTATTTCACATGGTCTTGACTTGTCCCTTCTCTTTGGAAGCTGGCTCCGGAGGCCATGCAAGCCTACACAGATCCTTCAGCAGCACTTGTTCCTGTAATTTGAGTCCACTTCTGGTTGTGTATTAATCAACCCTGATACAAGTCTTTTACAGGCATGTCTGTTCACCTCTCAGAGACTTTGTCACTAGAAACAAGAGATGCGTTGCTTTGATTTCTTTTGAGAGATAATTTTGTCTCAACTGAAGTTTTAGAGAAGCCTTATTGAGGCTCTGGTGCCCCAGCTGACATCTTGTCCCTAAAGCAGGCTGTCCCTGGGCAGCCTATGGCAGGCTCTCAACCTCACCTGAAGCCAAATCTCCATTTTTCTCCCTACTTGCAGGACAAATTGCAGACTGCTGAGGCTGGAACACTTGCTGGTGCATACCTTGAACCCTGGATCCTGCTGTAAGCTAAAGGCTGTCTTTTAAGACTACTTGTTATCTCCAACCTATTCAAGGGTGCTTTTTCTGCACTCTTGTAGATGATCATAGAATCATAGAATCGTTTAGGTTGGAAAAGACCTTTAAGATCAAGTCCAACCATCAACCTAATGCTACCAAGTCCACCGCTAAACCAATTAAGGGGAGAGTAATAAGTAATTTCATGTTTCCTGGCTTGGTGGCTGGGTTATTTTTTAATGAAAGTAAAACTAGAATAGAATCATTCAGGTTGGAAAGGACCTCTAAGATCATCAGTCCAACCATCAACCCAACAACACCATGCCCACTAAACCATGTCCCAAAGTGCCACATCTGCCTGTTTTTTGAACACCTCCAGGGGTGGTGACTCCACCCCCTCTCTGGGCAGCCTGTTCCAATGCTTGACCCCTCTTTCCGTGAAGAAATTTTTCCTAATATCCAATCTAAACCTCCCCTGATGCAACTTGAGGCCATTTCCTCTTGTCCTAGTAGTAGGACTCATCATTCCTGATGAGTAGGAATTATTTTTTCCTTCAAAGCTAAAAACGTTTCCTCTCACCACATAATCTTAATTCCACACCTTGCTATGTGCCCTTAAAGTTGCACATTATTCTAGCAACCACTGCTTGGGATGGGCTAATTTCTGAGATTCATTAGTCTTGAAAGAAGCCGGCCGCATCCTGTAGAGGATAGGAGGTGACAAAGTGGCTGCAGTTCTTGGCGCTGGA